TTTCCCCTAGCCCTCCCACTTCCTTCCCCTTTGCCCCTTTTCTTCCTATTTCACATTACCTATTATACATTTTAGTCCTTATTTACACTTTCAGTTTCTCACACCAGAGAAACTATTCGGTATTTATACATGTGTGTCCTATTTATTTCACTTAAGAGTATCACTTCAATGTGCATCCGCTTAGCTATAAATGTCTCTAATTTCTCATTTTTTTATGGCTGAATAGTACTCCATTTTATTAAAAAACCACATTTTCTTGATCCAGTCTCCAGTTGATCGGCATTTGGGCTGTTTCCAATTTTAGCTATCACAAACTGTGCTGCTATGAACATGGGTGCACATATATCACTGTGGTATGATTCTTTCAATTCTTTGGGGAAGATCCCCAGCAGTGGAATAGCTGGGTCAAATGAGACTTCCAATCCTAGTACTTTGAGGTATTTCCATACTGATTTCCACAGTAGTTGCACCAGTCCACACTCCCACCAAATCTTTGTAAATAGGGAGGAATGGAGGGGTTGAAGGGAGGGCTGGGCAAGGGTGAAAAATAAGACCCAAGAGAGACTATGTAAAGGTGCAAATTTCCAATGATGAATGTCATTATATTGTATACCTAAAATGTAGCAATGATTAGAATAAATAATCAATAATGCAAAATAGGAAGAAAAGGTCCAAAGGGGTAGGGGTAGTGGGAGGGGCAGGGGAAAGGAAAGAAGGGAAAGGACAAATGATGAGAAATGGAAAAAATGGAAATAAAGTCTTTGTAAACAGGGAAGGGTGGAGGGGGTGAAGGGAGGGATAGGAATGGGGAAAAAATAAGAACCAAGATGCATCATGTAAAGGTACAATTCCCAATGAGAAATGTAATTGTGCTGTATACCTACAATGTACCAATAAAAGAATTTAACAGGAAAAAAAAAAGATACATCATGTAAAGGTACAAGATCCCAATGATGAATGTAACTGTATTGTATACCTAAAATGTATCAATAAACTTAATGGGGAAAAAAAATTAAAGGCTCACATTCTGGCTGAATATCATGCCATTTTTAAGTATAAAATTAGAAATGACAAGAAATACTTTTAAATGTACTCTTAGCACTTTCTCACACCCTAAGTTCACCCATAGGTTTTCTACAGACAATACCAGGAGGGTGGGACACTAAGCAACTACCTCCTTGAGCAGTTGTGTGATTTTGGCAACTGCCTCTGCTTGTCATCTTTCCCAAGGATTCCTCAGAGCCAAGAGTATCTGCCAAGAGGAATCAAAACGCTGCTGACAACCAGGAATTGGATTTGTTACAGATGGAGGTGTTCCAGCCCTCAAAATCTGCCAACTCCATTGTTAGAGGCGTGTGATAAATGAATTAAGTACATCTGCCCTTGTGAGCTAAAGAAGATTCAAACATCTTTTTAAAATGACAGGAAGCCACACTTCTTTGGCTAAGTCTTGGGTAGTGTGTATGAGTGTACGACTGAGCTCTGAAAACAAGATGTGTGCAGAGAGGCATTTTCCAGGGATTTCTTCCCTTAAAGGTAGAAGTAACAGCCCTTTCATTTGATTGGCCTAGACATATCATCTTGGGAACTGTTGGGGAAATGTTGCAATTAGTATTCCAGGACACAGAATGAGAATTCCAAGAATATTATTCTATTAAAACTGCTTTAAAAATCACCTTGAGCTTTTTTGATGATTATCATTATGTTGTTGTAGTTTGGGGGCCTTCCTTTCTGTTACCCCCACCCCTACCATTTTGATAACGAGTCATTTAAGGGAACAATCTCTGAACTTTATTTAATGGGCAAGCTATTCAAACTTTAAGCTATTCAAAGAGAACATAATCTGTCATTGGAACTTAAAATGCTTAGGGAAAACCATAGAAGTAATATGTATAGTTTTCATAGTAAACAAATATAACTCCAGTGCAGTGATTCTGCTGTAGCTGCAATAACTCTTGCCCAATCTCCAGACTCATATCGCTCTACCTCTGTCTCCAACTTGGAAGTTTAATGGGCATCTCCAAATAGAACTCCTGGATCCCAGCAAAACAGTCCTTACTATGAAAAAAAAATTATTGCTATCTTGTCAAATAGTAATTTCCAACTTCCAGTTGCTCAGGCCAAAACTTTGCTGCATTCTCATCTTTTTCTTTCCCATCCCATGTCCAAACCACTAGCTATAACTCAAAAAATATATATAGAATCCAACTATTTCTCACTATATCCTCTACTACCACACTGGTCCAAACCACTTTTGCCCAGATCAGAAGACTCTCCTAAAAAATTCTCTCACCTGGGCCAGGGATTTAGCTCAGTGGTTTCACTGCCTACCTCACAAGGGGAAGGTCCCGAGTTCAATCCCTGGTAACCAAAAAACAAACAAACAAACAAAAATTCTCTCACTTTTGGCCAGGAATTTAGCTCAGTAGCACCGCACCTGCCTTGCAAGTGCAAGGTCCTGAGATCGATCCCCAGAACCAAAAAAACAAAAAAAACAAAAAAAACCTCTCAGTTTTGCCTTTGTCTTCTCCCAAAATCATTCAACTGCTTAAGGAAATAGTTGCTTAGTGCCCCACCCTTTTAAGATCATTCTAAGACTAAAGTCAGGTAAGTTGCACTTCTCAAAACACCCCAATGACCTCCCATGTCACCTGGACTAAAGCCAAAGTCCTTACAATGGCCTACTAAACATTCTGCATGTCCTAGTTTCTAAATTTAAAAATATAAGAGGTAGCATAGCAGTGGTTAAGAGCGTGTGATCAGAGTCAGACTGCTTGTTTTTAAATCCTAGCTCTAATTTAATTATTAGCTATATGACATTGGGCATGACACTTATTCTCTTGGTGTCTAAATATCCTCATCTGTAAAATGGAATAATTATAATACCTATATGGTTGTTGTGAGAATTAATGAATTAATTCTACAACATACTTTTTAGTGACAGCATATAGTGAACATTGTAAACATTTAAAAATGACAAAATAGGCATTTTTTTCTATTAGTAAAAGATCTCATAATAAGTTCTGTGTATAAAATAATGATGCCAATGTTTTCATCTATAAGAATTTAGAGAGATCCAAAACACCTCTTAAAGCAAAAGATGAAAAATATTTTGGTTAAACAAATTTAAATGAGCCATCATTTTTTTCCTGCAATAAGTTCTGAAGCTAACCAAATATGGCCCTCATATCACTTTAAATGTATTTTATTAATGCATACTAACTTTATAAAATATTGGGTTTCAAAGTGGTATTTTCACTAATGGATATAGCATATTTTGATCATACTCATTCCCCCATCATTGTTATATGTTTTTTATTTATTCTGAGTTCAGAGCTAGAATGTTTCATATACCGTGATTTATACCTTTAAATATTTTGGTACTTTTAAAGCATACAAATGCTGAGCTGCTTACTCACTTGCTTATTAACCAGTAATGTTTCCACTCCAAATATAAGTATAATTTGTTCAGTTTATAATATAGATTAGTTTTTAAGATATACTATACTTTAGTGCTCTATGTCTGGAATTTTATTACTGCATTAATGAAAATATTCTGTCTAGAATAAAACAATAAACAGAAGTTTATTACACCTTCATATTTCCAGGATGGGCATAGTAGAGTGAATAGCCATGTGAAATTTCCAATTGGGGGTCATAAAATAGACTTTTTAGTGGAAAAAATAGCAAGATTCAATTTTGAACATGGCTTTAAACATTATTTAAATTGTCTTTATGGGAAAGTGAGAAAAATGGCCACCAGCCAGAAGTCCATCATGGCTGACTTCTTACTTCAATTGTATAGGTTCTTTTATTCTTACCTGAAGAGTAAAGAACATCCCTAATTCTCCCCTCCTCCAAACACAGAACACATAACATATCCTTCAGGATCTGTTTTTGATTCATAGAGGAGAAACTGTCTTATACTCATAAGTAAATGTATACAGAATGTTTGGAGTGAAAAGACGTATTATTTGGAAAGAGGTCAAATGTACATGTGATCAAAATATTTGATAAATATTTAAATTTTTGAAAATGTTTTACAGTAAAAGACACATTGCCAAGAATCCCCTTCAATACTATTCCATCATTCTTGCCACTTTCTGAAGCAATTCTAGGAGTTCTTTTTCATGAGTATCTATGAGATGTGATCAGAAAATATGGTTGAATGCTGCTGCTGAGAGCCATCCAATGGAAATGCATGCTTCTGAAAACATTGACCACAAAACATAAACATTTTGAATCAATGCAAGACATCAAGACAGCCAAGACAGTGCAACTAAAGACCTATAGGAGCTTTTCATAATTCCTTCAGAAAGTGGCAAAAATGATGGGATAAGTATGTGTGTTCAAATCAAGGGAGAGTTTTATTGAGGGAAATTGATTATAATTTATCTTTTATTGTAATAAAATTTTAACCATTTACTGTATTTTTTGATCATACTCCTTACAATTGAAAACAAGAGTAGTCACAGTATTTGTTCAGAAGCACAAAGGGGAGTTAAGACTTGTAGGAGATTTCTGAAAGGGTCATAATACAAGGAAATAAAAATTCAATATTTTTATTTTATACTTGAATTTAACTTTTAAAATGTGACATGAAGTTCTACATTTCTGGAAAATTCTTCCAGTTCTACATGGAATTTGAATGTAAAGTAGACCTGTTGCTAGAGCTCTTAAAGTTCTCTGTATGTTGGATGGGTTATTGACCAGCTTCCAGGTAAAGCTGAACTTCACATATTTGCCAAACAAAAATGTTTCAGTCTCAACAATTACACTGTGAGAATTCCTCTGAAAACAAGAGGGGAGAAATAATACAGTTTTCCCTGTACATTAGAAACAAACAACATGATTTAATGAAAACTTACTCTTAGTTAAATAACCACTAAGTTGAAACATCATTTCACAGTGTTTGTACAAAGAATGAACCCTGCTCTTCTAAGAAGTCATTGTAATTTTTGTCAAATAACACTTTTCCTCACCATTTTCTATTTTAAAAGAAAACTTGCCCTGAAACATCATCCAGACAAGAATCCAGGTGATCCAGCTGCTGCTGAAAAGTTTAAAGAAATCAACAATGCCCATAGCATACTAACCGACACATCAAAGAGAAACATATATGATAAATATGGATCACTGGGACTCTATGTGGCTGAGCAATTTGGAGAGGAAAATGTCAATACCTACTTCATGCTGTCAAGCTGGTGGGCAAAGGTGAATCACATTTTTTTTCTTTAAAAACAGTCTCCTAGAACATCATGGTATTATGCACTTTTTTAGATCCTATTTCAAGGACATACTAATCTTACTACCATTAATCTCTTGTAAATAAAAAGAGAGATTACTTCTATTGAGAGCTGTTATTTGGGGATCATTTTTGCTTTAGCTCATCAATTAATTATAAAATCCAGCTTGACTTAAGAGCCTTCTAGACATTAATTATATTTGAATTTGGAGCTTCAGGTTAATTCTGACTGGCCTTCCTTCCCCTGTTGTGACTAATTAAGAACTGACTCATTGCTCAAAACCAAAAATAATTCATTAGTGTGACAAATGTTTAATACATTATTATAGAACAAATTTAGCCATGTACTTTACTATCTATAGCATAGACGACATCAGCAAACACAAATCTTGGGGGTGATTATGTTATGGCTCATGTGGAACCTGCTGTGAGGCTGTGGAGAAGGAAATGGGAAGGGAAAGGTGAGATGGAAGTGTGGAGGATAGAGTTGGGAAGAGAAGGGGAAGAAGAAAAAATGGATCTCTGAACAAGAAAAAGGCAAATTTTTTAAGGACAATATCAGAATTGACTTTTGTACAGTAAATTTTGTTTAGTTTCCTAAGAATCCCTAATATTATGTATGTTTAGTCATATTTGTTTATGAATTTTAATATTCTTATCTTCTGATGAAAGTCTGTTTACTTATAGGCACTGCATATTGTCTATTAGCTTTTTTGTTTTTGTACCGGGGATCAAACTCGGGTCCTTGAGCTTGCGCAGCAGGTGACAAAACCACTGAGCTAAATCCCTGGCCATTTAGCATATTTTGCAGACAGTTAACATTCATATAAGTGGTGCTAAGTAATAATTTTTAAAAACCACATCTCCAAAATGGCAGGTTTCGTGCTCAGTTCTGTTTTCTTCCATTAAATCTTGCTAAGTCATAGAGTTTCATATATGAAGAAAGAGAGAGATTGTGTTCTTGTACATAACCATACAGAGAAAATCGGCAATTTAAAGTCTCATTTGTCTCCTGCAAACTCTATCCCACAATTCTTTAGGGGGATATCTGAGAATCCCATGGAAATCCTTTTCTTTATAGAAGACTTGAGAAGTCAAGATGTTGCTAAGTGGATTTGAAACTTGGGATGAAAGTATACATACTGACAACATTATTTATGATGATTTGCATTCTTATAACAATACAGACTTTTGAGGGCTTCTGTGGGAACCTAATCTGCAGGCATGACATCTTTTCATGGGACGGAACATCTGCAGTTCCAGATAATTAATTATGCATGTACATATGCATGAACATTATGGCCTGTCTACGTAACAATGAAAATAGACTTCCTTACCCAGGAAGTTGATGACATTGATCTAAAATCCTATACACAGAAAGAATCTATCCAGTAGTGAAGAGATATGCAAACTGTTCCTGATGTGCTTCTTTAAAAATAAAACTACAAAGAAATGTACTTTCCCTATCTGTTTGTGCCAAAGCCAATGTATGGTACCCATCAGAATGGCCTAGCATTCATCCGTTAATTAATCATCACATGAAGGATTCACACACACACACACACACACACACACACACACATATATTACACACATATATTTTTTTAAGTACCAGATACCTACTTGTATCTTGTAGTGTGCTAAGCACTGCAAGGGATAAAGCAAGGTTATTTCACACAAAAGGCAAGCAATTTGGAAGCAATGTGGAGCCAGGTATGGTGGTACATGCCTATAATCCCAGCCCTTTGGGAGGCTGAGGCATGAGTATCCCAAATTTGAGCTCAGCCTGGAACAATTGAGTCACTTAGTGATACTCTATTTCTAAATTTAAAAAAAAATTTAAGGTCTGGAGATGAAAATTAGTGTGACAGCCCTGGTTTCAATCCCCAACAACTCTCTCTCTCTCAAACGCAGACACAGACACACACACACTCACTCAATAGTGTATGAGTGAAAATGTGATTTTCAGAGAAGAGAATATGGGAATTGCATAGTAAAGTAAAAAAAGGCAAAGATGTGTAAAGAAGAGAAGAGCTCCTTGGAGGTAAAGGCTAAGTAATATTCACAGAATGGTCAGAACGAGAGAAGAGGGCAAGTGAGATCAACATTAAAGATTTCTGCTTAAGTTACTAACAAAAATGTGTTTGTGTTGCACACGGCTAATTTTATCTTTTATCTCTCTTGCTCATTAATTAGATAAAATGAATAATCCACTTTCTATTTTAAGTAATATGTCCTAAATAAGACCATAAATTGATTTTATTCAATTCACAAAATGGGCTTCTTATCATTTCAAATTGGCAGAGACAAGAAGGCCCCTTACTGGTTTGGATAGAGATGATGTGGAGGATGCAACAGGTCTCAAGGAGAGACTAGAGAACAGAGTGACTAATAGGAATGTGGGGCAGCAGGAAGCAGTACCATTTAGCTTTCTTTGGTGACAATAATTCAGTTTCAGTGACCAAGGTAGATTGATCATCTCATTTGACTTGTGAAGGCCTTGTTCGTTGCTTGGTTTGGTTTTTGTTTTACTTTGCTCTGCTCTTAAGAAAAATCACATTAAAAATAAAGAAGGAAATAAAGAAGACAATACTGTATTTCATGACTGCACCTACAAGTCATTTCCTCCGGATCTGCCTCATTGGGCACACCTTTATGAAGCAGTTGATTCTCTGGAAACTGTAGGATAACCCTTACAGGGGTAAGAATGAAGGCGGATATGCAGCATGTGTATCCGTGGTAAGCTGTGGTACCTTCAGGACTTGGGGGATGCATGGTTGCACCGCTGGCTTCCGGGATTGTCGCCTCCATTACTCCTCACCCCCAGTTCCTTTTCCCTTCTTTTCTAGGCCCTACTCATCGTCGTTGGCCTTTTGACTGGCTGCTATTTCTGTTGCTGCCTGTGCTGCTGCTGCAACTGTTGTTGTGGCGCCTGCCGCCCCAAAACATTGACGCCCGAAGCAGATGTCTACGTGTCAGCAGAAGACCTCGAGGAACCGATCAAGACTGACCTGGAAAAGGACGAAAGGGGAGGTAATGACCACCCCTTCATAGACTTAACTAAGCACCACATCCTACCTAAGTGGAGAGAACTCCAACAACCAAATGGGGGCTCTCACAGACGAGCAGCTTTGGTAGGTCTTCTGGAGACGATGAGGGGAAGAGAAAGCTGACCCTGATACTATTAGAAAGACATCACGTAATACGCTGACGGTGATGCGAAAGAAGTAAAATTCAGTCTCGTTATGAGAGACGGGCTGTGGGTGCAGGGAGGTTTGGGTGTGTTCAGGGAGAACCGAGGTGAGAATGTCTCCCGGGAAAAACATTTCAGCCTTTTCCATTAGGGTCTCAATTGAAAGAGGAGATGAACATCAAAAATGTCATCAATCCTTGACTTTTCTTCTTTGTATTACTTACTTGATAATAATTTTGGGGCGGGACTTGGCCAGAGTGATCCTTCTTCCCTTGAAATATAGCTTCTTTCCAAATATATTAGACCATAACCCCAAAGCAGCATCAAGAATGGGACTATTGCCGGGGATTTAGCTCAGTAGTTTCGCCACCTGCTGCACAAGCGCAAGGACCCGAGTTCGATCCCCCCAGTACCAAAAAAAAAAAAAGAAAAAAAAGAATGGGACTATTTGCTTTGCTAAGCCACCTCCTCCTGTGTATGTACATGCGTGATTCTACCTAGAAATGAAAAAGAAAAAAATGGAAAGAAAGATAAGATCTTGGAGAATTCACAACACCAGTGATACTTTATGTTCTTTGGGAAATGTCTTTGTTTAAGCAGTTTGGGGTCAAGCCTGCCATTGTCCTACTTTGTCCTGTGGCCACAATCCTCCTGTCATTTTCTCCTGTGGAATGTACCATTGTTCTGAATTATAGACTTTATCACTAAAATAAAAAACATAGTGAACTAAAGGAATTTCTTGATAATTCTGATTGTTACACATTGCTGTCAGAACCACTGGAATCAGGTTGTTGAACTTCTCTGGAATGTACCATACTTTGATTCTTTGGTCACAATGAAATAAGAACCAGGACATCAAGTACCAGAAACTATTTAAAAGCTGCATTGGCTTTAATTTCCTACCAAATGTAATGTTAAATAATATCCAATATTACCCATCTGGACTCCAAGTCAAAGAAAGGAGTATTCAGTCATCTGAATGGTGCCAAGAACTAAACTCTTTCAGAATTGGGACCCTAGAGAAGACAAAAGGAATTTTCCTGAAACCTGTGACCGCTCACTATGGAGTGGCAAGTCCATCAACCAGAGGAGGTGTTCTGACCATTTTTTATTATTTTTCTTGGAAACTTTTGGGCTCCTGGTGAAATACAACTTGTACTACAAATTTTTTTTTCTTTATTTGGGATACAAAAGGACAAATTAATCTTTTAATGAAGATATACAAAAGAACAAGCAAATGGGATCACTAATAAATGGATTAAGCAGCAACATTTGCATTGAAACTCTTCTTTAGGGAATGGCTGGTGAATATAGCACAACTTACCTACAAATTATGGTCCTAGTACATTGATCCCTCTTGTGAAAGAGATAAATGGTTATAAAATCAAGTCAAGGGTCACTGGCTGCACTGACCATAAGATCTCCCTCTAACTTTAATCACTCTAGCCGAGTACTCCGTCACTGAGGACAGAAGGTTCAGTGAGACAGAAGAATTGTCACTCATTGTCATCCACAGTGTCAACCTTCTCTTAACTTTTTCCTTATTGCGGAAAAACCCAAACTAGGTGAAATGAACTTAGATATCCCAAATCCAGTGCATCAGACTTCTCTGAAAAGCCTCAACATCTTTCTTCTTTAAATGGAATAAAAGCTCCACCAGGTCATTTCAGTAGACCTTCTATGTGGAAGATTTCTTTTTTGGAACAGAAGTCCAGACTAGGTGCCAAATTCCACCCAGGGTTCCTGCCTGTAGAGTGATTGGTGATGGATTTGTATGCCTTTCAGTGTTTTCCATTCTAATACCCAAAGCTACCAATTTGCTACAAAGGTGAGATTGTAGAATCCCATCTGACTATGTTATTAAATATTACTTAACCAAGAGGAAAAACTCTATTTTACTTCTAAATGTTTAAAAGCTCCTATTCAAGGATGATTCAGATTTTGTGGGATCTGAAATTTATGCAATTTGATCAGCTTTTTCTTCAGAAAAAACACAAAGTACAATCCAAAAGTGAATATTTATTTAAAATGAGAAAATTATCACAACAAATTGCAAAGCTTAAAAACTGACAAATGCCATATATATCACAAAATCTAGAAAACAGCAATCATTTAATAAGCTGCTTAGCATATCTGTGTAATACTTTCCTCTGTGGCTACATAGTCCTTGATTGCCTCTTCATACAACAATAATTGTGAAATATAACTTTCTATAGGAAAATATAAAAATAATTCTGCCTTTCCTCTAATGTATTTGATTCAAATTTGTCTATTATTGGTGAATTATAAAGGTTTCTTTCAGTTTTATAAGTCATTATTGATAAAGTCTAAATTTTAGGGATTGTTGCAAAATTTTGGATAACTTCCTAGTGTATTTTATGTACAAGATGTAAGCTTTCCATAGGCTACTTTTGACTTTGAATATCTCAAACCTTTTTGCATCTTCAATACCCAGTACTCTGGGTCAGACCCATTAAACATATGCATATTACATGGCATGACCTCTGGCCTGGATCTTCATGTTCCCTTAATATGTGAATTGGCATAGTGGGAGAGTTGGGGTTTTGTGTGTGTGTGTGTGGGAGTATTTCTAAAGTCATTCCTACATCCACATGGCTAGCTATACAGTACATAGAGTTGCTATAAACTACAAAAACATACTGCACTAAAATTTGAACAAAACCTATTCCCAGCTCTATTTTCCCTTAACCAAACCCTCCAAAAAAACCTTCTGTCATCCCTTTTGAAGAACGGGGAAAGTCAATGTGGAAAGAGACAATGTTTTTCCTGACTGTGTGTTCAAAATATATTTTTCTCCCACTCTATGAAAGTGGGCAGCTGGAAGGGTCTGTGCAAGTGAGGATCCCTGAAGCTTACATTTCATCAACTATATAGTAAACCCATTGCTGCTCTTTGGTCTAACACTTCATTATTAGAATATTTGCCTCATTTATAGCTAGTTGCATTAGTTCACTTCAGATTTGTACTCCACTAATTTAGAGGTTTAATGTAGTTTACAGGTAAACTTAATTCAAGTTAAGGCCAGTAAGGATGAAAAGCAGACTTCATCTGAAGACTATACTTTCTGGACTGTGAGACTTTTCTGGGACCCACTTAGAGTTATTTAAGAAAATATACTTGAGGGAGGGTACTAGTCACTTGGATGTCAAATTATTTATGATAAATAATAAGCATCGTACATCAAGACTTGATGCAAAATGTAAATGTGAAGGCACTAGAAAAATGGGAAAATTAAAAGGAAATTGACATTGGGGCTTTGATAATTTTATTTTAGATAAATTAAAATAGCAAATTTTTCTCACTCAGGACATTTTTATTTTTTATATTGTATCTAATCGTAAAATCCTAGGGTTTTATATAATTGGAAAGGACCCACTGTGTCCACTGAGTGCTTTTCATTTCTTTTCCTTGCCTTAGTGCACTAGAAAAGATTTCCAGCATTTGGTTTTCTGTTCTGTTGTCACTGTCTTGAAATTCCTTTTATTTTGAGACAGAGTCTTGCTAAAATGCCCCAAGTTAGCCTCAAACTTATGATTCTCCTGTCCCTGCCTCCCATGTAGCTGGAAATACAGATGTGTGCCACTGAGCCCAGCTTTTGAAATTCTTAGCTTTTGGATAAAGTATAGTATATTTTTATTTTTACTGAGTTTTATAAATTATCCAGCCGTACTAAAAATACTTTTTCTAGAAAAAGAAACAAGGAAGCTAACTGAGATGAGTCAGGGAGGAATATGGAAGAATAAATGGAACCAGGGATTTATATTAATTGTCCACCTAAAAGCTGAACTTCAGCTTATACTGTGCTGCGAGATTTGACCAGTATATGAAGATTATAGCTGGAAGCTTATTTTTCATACATGAATATCAATTTTAATGAAGTATAGCATTTCATTCGGCTATTATTCTGTCTTTTATCTAGAAATGCCAACATATAAGATATAATAAAACTAATATGAGGTAATTCTCTCTCCTGAATAGAAATAATACCTGATTAATATTTTGTTGTCTTATACTTTATAAGACTAAGAAGAGGAAAGAACAAGGGTTGAGTAGAAAAAAGATTTCTGATCTGAATTCAGTGACTAACCACCTCAAATTTCATTTTTAAGACATATTATAGAGGCTTATTATTCTTAATTTATGAAAATCCAAATTTGGAACATCAAGCCATTTTTTACCTACTGACTTATAAAAAATTAGAAATGTTTTTCATTTCCCTGGAGATAGTTTAACAAGTCTATTTTTACATCTAAGTCTCTTTTGTTGCATACTTTTATTATGGACTTATTTCAGTTATACTCTATTTGTTGACCCTTGCTAAAGTCTAAGATATTTTTTGATGGTGTAACATGGACAAGTCTCTGTACAGGAGTGGTGGTGTAGGGTAGGGATTGGCAGCAGAGAGAAGAGATTTGTTTGGGTGATTTTGTTTTTTCAACAATGCTGGAGAGTGTAACCCAGCTTCTACCTTCAAGAAATAAAGTAAGAGAAGTTCAAACAATGGCATTTTCTTTATTCATTGGCAACTAGAAAACTTGTTAGTGGATTTCTATTTCTCCCTCAAAATAAAAACATATTTCTAATGAGATTCTAGGAAAATTCTATTATTCTTATGAATCTACCAAGATCAAATGGAAGAGATATAGTACCTTCTGGGAATAGAGAATGATGGTCCTCTCTCTCTCTTGTGGTTGTTGTTGTTTTGCCTTTGAACCATTAAAATCTGATAAATACAATAAAAGGTAGTGAGTGAGTACCAGCACAACTTACTTATAAATTATGAACCAAGTTAATTCCCTTACTTTCTCAGGTTCCCAAA